CCAAGGGAAGGTAATCCCTGGTCCCTCCTCTCTGGCTAACTCTAGCCAACCATCAGTCTGGCAGAATACAAATCTTTCACAAATCCTTTTGGATTATATTGGGATTAAATCCTGCTACTGAGGTGACATGATAATGGTTAACACAGATAGAAGTATTCTGAGCAGTCAGCGTGAGGGCAGCACAAGGGGAAGGAAACTGAGCAGAAGCTGAAGTCAGAAGCAACAACCTCAGTCCCTCAGAATGATCCTGTCCACACATGGGTTGGGAAATATTTTTATGGCTCCTTCTGTTCCTATACATAACACCACCTCTGCTACAGTGCTTCAGTGATTAGCATTCTCCCAAAAAGGGAACCAGTCATTTCCTTCATGCTGAATTGACCAGCTTTCAGCCACTGGAAGCTGTCAGCACGTCTGCCAGCAAGGGAAAAATAATTCAGCTGCTGCCCCAGTATAAACACTTACAGAAAGTGATACTGTTTCTTGACTACTTTTTAAAAGAGCAGATTCCAGAGCATTCCCAGGTGCTGGAATACCTCTCATCCTGCTCAACTCCCTGGCATCAGAGGCAAGCTCAGTGTGGGAGGTGAGCCCAACTTCAGGGTCTGCTGCAGGACCAAGCACACCACTGCCCCCAGGGCTCACAGCTCCAGGTCTGATTGGCAACCACCCACACCAGCTTTGGGGCCTTCCTTTGAAATCTCCTATCTTTTTGTACCTTTCACCAGGACTGAACACTACCCAGAACACCACATCCTCACTGGTTTTCTCAAGCACACATATAGAGTCAGGAGCATCTCCAGGTCCTCCGTGTATTCCCATTTTCATGTTTCCAAGGATCCACCTGGCTTCTCTTTTTCTAGCTGTTTTTGAGTTTTGATTTTGGTTTATTTTTTCAACATCACTGATCTGACAGTTTGCATTATGTTTATTAAGTCAAAGCCTCCAAAACCCCTTCTTTGAGTCACTGTTTTCCAAAGCAATGTTCCATTCCCAATTATATTACACTGCACTTGGCTGTATTAAAATAAATTCTATTTGAGTGGGATAAAAGCTCCTCACTGCTTGGTATTGGTCCTCTGTGTTCCTCCCTATTTAATTATATTTAACTATTTTCTATTCTGTAAATGTCACGAGTAAAAATGACTGTTCTGAGTTTAAGGAAGGGACATAACTTCATTTGCTAAACTTGCCCTTTATTTGTCACTACTGAACTTGCAGACCTAGAGGTTCTTGTATTTCTGATGTCCTGATATTTGAGACAACTTACCACTTTATTTCTATTCCCTATAGTTATTATATTAGTTGCTTTGATTTCCCCTATCAGCTGCATATAAGCTTATTCTCCCAAATATTTTTTCACTTGTTTTCATTTATCACATCATTTACAGACATTGCATCCTTAGCAGGATTTGCAAGTTGAATGTTCAACACACACAGATTTTCTACACCATGAACTTCTGAACTAATGCACATACTAACAGCAAGAAAAAAAAAAAAAAGAACCAGATTCTACAATAGAATATTATCAGACAGTGATGCAGTCCATTTTACAAAAAAACAACAATCCCAGACAAATCCAAAGTGAGGCAGCGTGGCTTAATGAATAAATCTTAAAGATGCCAAACTGGCTTCTACCTTTAGTTTGTATCAGAAGTCTGAGTGCTTGATTAATGAGGAATACGATGTTCAAGACTGACAGAAATATTCACACCATTCATTAGAAAAAATGAGTCTAGAACCCAGCCTTCTGGCAACAAATGGACTCTTTTCAAAGGAACAGACCTAAATCATCTATGCAGATCTGTTGCTGGCTCCTCCTGTAAGACAGCTCTTATTTAATAGTGTTTGCAACCCAAATACTACAGAACTGAGAGACCAAAATTGTCAATAAAAATTGAGCATAACTGGTTTTCAAGGGCCCAAACTTGGAAAACTGCAAAAGCATAAACAGAAATTTTTATTTTTGAATTTGTTAACTTTTAATGCCATCAGACTCCTACTGAAAATTACCTGGAAACCAAAGATATTATCTGCGGAAGAAGAAAACAAAAGCTAGAATAATAAAACTTGGTCCATGTGGTTAAAATATAATTAAAAGCTTAGGCAATAACCCGCTATCTAATTGTGGTGATTCTCAATATTTTTTCTCTCAGGAACTATTTTCTGATTAGTAGCTATTCTGAATGCTGGCACAGAAAGAGCAAACAGACTTAGCAATTAAAATACTTGAAGCAAAAAGAAACCAAACAAAAAAACCCACAAACTCAACTATGAACACAAGAGTTTCCTGAAGACATCTCACTCAGCCAAACTGCTCTTGAACCCACAAGTTCACACTGCTCCATCCACCAGAACTATTTCTGTGCAGAATAATTCTCAATGTATCTCTTACCAGCTTTGTCTACACAACTGGTAACTAACTTGTATTTATTATTAATGAAAACCACTCAACATTTCACACTTGTTTCACAGAAAGAAAGCTCCCATTTCTCCTGCAAAGGCAACAAAATGCCCCTTTCTGGATTTTCCCAGCTCTGGATTAAATTTAGATCTTCCACCTGTGCCAGGAGTTGCTGGGATGACTCAGGGAGGCTGGAGGAAGGTTTCTGCACAGTTTTAGTGCCTTTCCCCTGGGAATAACACAAAGATAACAGAACGTGACACCACTTCGTACAGACGAAAATTACAGGTCTCCCGGCTTGGAGCCATCATGGCTGTTAACAAAATCATTAAATGCAGGTTGTGTGGATTCTGCAAGCATCAAAAAGAAGAAACAAACCACTTTAGTAGTGAGGAAGAGAACATACTCAAATCTTTCTAGTCTCTGCATACACAGAACTACCATTTATCATTTAGATGAAAAACAAATGTCAGGTGAAGACCCTATAGTTATACTGCTAGAATTCTACCAGTTATCTCCAGAGTATCAGAAATACTGTTCTCTAGAAATGCCACAGCAGAACAGAGGTCCCCAGGTGGGGTTCTATACATATTTCCATTCCTATATCGATGATAACTGAGTTGGCTGGTGCTCTTGAAACCTTTCTTCATGGGCCTTTTGGCACATCCACACGTTTGTTTTGGTGCATTTGTCTTCTCAGGAAGGAGTTCAGCTTGCCTCCAGACAAGGACTGGGGTTAGAAGCTAAGGCTCTGAAGAGCTAACCCAGGAATGCTTGACAAGCTGTGGCAGGTTCTCACCTACCACCACACAAAAGCAGGGCACGGCTGTAGGTCTGGCTGGGACAAAGTGATGGGGCAGGAACGAGAAGATCCCACATGGTGATGAACTTGGATTCTTGTTCTTAGAAGCCCACCTTAAACAGTCTTTCAGCAACATTTTATTGACAACTTTTCTGTAATGAAAAGCTTCTGTTACTTTGTTCCAGTCTGAATTTCATGCAGGAATCTTGACCTTTTTGAAGCCTTACCCCACATGGGGCAGATTACTATAGCTCAGCTTCTTGAGGGTGACCACTGGCACGTGGGCTCTTATCTCAGGTAACCTTCAGTCTTTTCTGCTCTCTGGAGGGCAGGTTACTTCAGTCCAATGCTGCAACAACGTCATGGCTTTCTACAGCCAGGTGGACAGCCACAATACAGAAGAACCCATGCCCTGGTCCCCACTGAACTCAACGGAGGTGGAAGATCAATGAGTTCCTGCTAAAGGGATTTTGCAGCATGCTTAGTGGGACTGGGGAGCAAGCTCCTAAGGCAAAACCAGACCTTTGCTCTGTTCAGAAGAAAGTACAAAGTCTCAGAAAAGGCAGACTATCAGGAAATACTCCTCTTTGTCAGCATGACAAGGCAAAAAAGCCAAGCAAGGATTAAGAGCTGCTTGCTTGCAACACAAACCACCATACAGCCAAGGAAAAAACATGCCTTTTTCTTGTAGGAATGGAGAAACCCTTACAAGTAACCAAAAGCTATGACCAGCATAATATTAGAATATTAATTTTTATATATTTTTCTGTATGATTCTGTTCAGTATTCAAAGAATAAGCAGCTCAAAGAATAAACAACTCAGGAATTCATATCAGGTTCTTTCTTGGGCTGATAAGCAAGACCAGTCGCACACTTGCAGTCCCGTCTGTTTGACCTGAGGTGGTTCAGTTGTGACTCTATCAAACACACAATTTGGGAACTAACCAAGACTGAAATACCACACAGAAGGTTTTCTTTCTGCTTAAGAAATTAACATAGTACCATCTTACCAGAAGGCATACTCTGCTCAACCAGTAGCAGTAAAATGAAATACACATTTTTGAGCTGTCTCCCTTTTATCTTGAGGCAGCACAGAGGCAGTACCAGCAGCCTACCTGCTTCCTCTCCAAGGTCTCACTGATGAATAAATCAGGGACTCTCTCACTACACTCTTCCACCTGAATATACAGTTTATTCAACCCTTTAATTACCAGCTTAGTAGAATTAGCATGATAAAGGCAAACAAAGACTTGGCACTCCCCGGCACTGTCCCTGAAAAGGGTTGTTCTGTAAACTTTTGTACTCCTACTTATCTGCTCCAATCTCTGATAACAGCAACTCTTTAGTGCAAGCAGTAAAGGACACACAGGTAGAGCCTGGACATACACGGCCAGGTCAGCCACAGCCTTCGAGGGTTGAAGTAGCCCGACATGCTGCCAGAAAACCCCAATTTCTTTAGGGCACACTACAAAAGCTGAGGTTTGGGTTTGTACAAAAGTGCATGGATTTTATTTTTGCAGAGTGTGTGGAAGTTAACAGAAGCAAGAGTTGTCTCAGGAATGGGGCCAGGATGATTTTGTGCAGTAAGAGGGAGATATATTTTAGTCTACCACTGTTTTTTTTCTTACGTGTTTTATTTTTGAGCATCTGGGTATCAGCATGAAATAGGCACACTTTTCATACGGGTAAACTCAGATTTAAAATGCAGATAGGCAGAAGGAACCCATTTAAAAACAGTCATCATATATTCCCAAGCAGTCAAACATAGGGGGATCCTTTTAGAAGGAAACGTACCTGCTTCAGGACTTGTTTGATTACAGCTGCTAACAATGCTGTTTGGTATCACTGGAGTGGAGGATGCCTGGATTCTCGACTGAGGTGGGTTCGGATGTAATGAATTTCCTAAAGCCATTCCTGACTGACTGAGCATCCCACAGTTCCCACTAGCCTGCATCTGATTTATTAAACCTGCAAGATGGTTGGTTGTGCCCGGGCTAGTGCCATGGCCAAAATTAGTGTTTGTGTTCTGGCAGTGCACACCCTCCCCTCGCAGGGGTAAACTCTGTGCCAGCGAGTTCTGGAGACTGCCAGAGTTCATACTGGTATCTGCAAAATGCATCTGGTTACCAGAGCAAGGTAGAGCAGTATTTGAGCTCCCACAACTGCTGGTACTATTGCTGCTCATGTGAGAGCTTTGACAACTCATGGACTGAAGTAGCTGGGACATAGAACTGATGGGAAAGGAGCTTTGACTTTGCTTTCTTATCAAATCCGATCCAGCTTTGGAAACTCCAGAACTGTCCAACTGAGACTGTCTCAGCAAACTCAACACCGTGGTGGTGGGCTGCTTTCTTTTTCTCAGAGGATCTTTTTGCTGAGACATTAATTTATCTCTCAGTGCTGCTCGGCCACTTTGCCCTTCAGTCGTTGGTAGGAGCACGTTGGCAGCAGGAGGGAACATGGTATTTAAAGTGCTATGTCCTTCGTTGTTGCCACCGCTGGCAACAGGTCCAGAATTGCTACTGCTGTTATTGTTGTTACCAGCAAGTTTATTTTGATTTGCTAGCTGTGCTTTGGCTGCTGCTGAGAGTAAACTGCTTGCTGGAAAAGAGGCAGCATTGTGCTGGTTCAAGATCTGATTTAAAGGCATTCCCAGCAAACCAGGCTGACTCTTCAAGGAACCACTTCCAGCTGATGCAGTAGAAAAAACTGCATTGTTGGGAGGATTTAATACATTACTCATTCCAGCAATTAATGGGTTAGGGATGTCCTTGTATTGATTAAGTCCATCGTGCTTGGTGGAAGGGCTAGATGGCATAGATGGTCTCGGTGACCCTATTGTTGACCTTGGGGACCTGGGAGGAACTTTAATACCAGTACAGGATGACTGTGGTCCTACTGGAGGCAGCAGGAAATTTCCATGATCTGATGACGTGGAAGAAGAACGTGATCTTTGGGGAGAAGCCTCGATCCTTCCAATCCCGGATCCCATCATGTGAACTGGGGATGTCACTGGTGAAGGAGAGAGGGAAGTTGAAGCAGAATGCTGAACTCTTTGAACATGACTTCCATGGTTCATGTGACCAGGTTTTACAGTTGGCAAAGGGAGATTACTTGGCAAAGGGACGACAGCAGGAGGCATGCTTACATTCATCACAGGTACCTGAGAGTGGACATTTGAATGGAAAGTAGTTGGGTTAATGATAACAGGATTCTGATTCACTGGTTTGCTGGGAATAGGATCAAGTATGCCAAGTGGATCTTTTTCTGATGTTAATGGCTTTTTCTGAAGAGCACAAGAAGGTGGTGGAGGAGGTGGGGGTGGACCTTGGGGAGGTTTATGGTGAAACATTGCTCGTGGTATTTCCATACCAGCTGAAAAGTTACACATGGGTTTTTTCATTACTGGGCTTTTTGTGGTCAAGGTTGGGGAAAGAGGTATATTAGTCCTTCCAGCCATTGCACAGGATGACTGTATGGGAGAACCATGTAACATTACTGATGGTGGAGACAGAGGTGTCCTGGTCATGTGAATAGGACTAGAGTTGGGCGCTCCATGAAAATTGGGATTGTTCCTTGTGAAAACATCAGGGCTTCCAAGTGGGTCAGTCCTAGGAGAGATTGAGCCATCTCCGTATATTTGTGATCCTGATGAAGCTGGACTGGGCATCCCACCATGACTGCCACGATACGGAGACTTCTGTCCAAGTTCATTACTACCCAATCTCTGCCTAGGATAGACAGAATGAAGTTCTTGTTGCTGGCTTCCAGCTATTTCTTGCACATAAAGCCTACCCATGGCATTAGATGCCCCTATCATCAACTTGAAAGGAGTCTTACATTCTGGCATCACAGAATTTGTAATTCCTTCATGTGATTTATTCCTCAGTGATCGTGGAGTTGCTGCTCGAGTAGGAACTACTGGAGTTGCACCTGATATTAAAAACACAACAGTTACTATTTTGAAATCTGGTATCATACATTTCAGCACAGAACTACTGTGTGCAAAAATATTCATACAAGCTAGAAAACCTTTTGGCCAAACTTTTGTCTAAATAGAAATAATCCCTAAATCCCCAAGTAGCTGCTGGAATGGTGCATGCTACCCTGCTACACAGTGCAGCTGTATGGACCGTAACTCCATGTCCCATATGAAACCTGCATAAATATGGACAACTTTAAACCTTGTGTTTCTTAAGTTTCAAGCACACTTGCTACCTACACACGTTTATCTCAGCGTGGTCTTTCTGAAACACTAACTCCTGAAAGGTGGTGTGTTTTTTTTTCCCCTCCCCCATTTTGGTCCTTTGCCTCTAACCATCATCTCTGGTGTCCTACACCTGAACTTCCAGCATCACCACTTTGGTTACAGCCAGCAGAGCTGGCAGGAGGAGCAGGCGATCAGTGTCGCAGGGAAAAGGAGCCTCTGGCACCATCTATTGAGTACAGGAGGAACAAAGCCCAACAAGGGTTCAGACTTCATTTCCTCTTGCCCAACAGAGAAATGGTTCCTGCCCCAAATGCTGCCCCTGATGAGGATGAACGGGGACCTGTGCCCCCATTCAAGCTTTGGCTCAGATTTCTAATCAGCCAGGCACTTAATTGCAGGGACCTAACAGCCCATGGCTGTGCAAGGCAGGAGGCAGCTTCTCCACACCACTCACTGGCGCCGTGGCCACTGAGTTCCAGTCCTCTGAGTTCATCTGTTCCTGGGAACTGCTTTGCTGAAAAGCTGAGGACAAACAACATATCCTGTTGGGCATTACCTTCCTGAATTAAGGCTTTTCCTGCAGCTTCTGCAACAAGATGCTAACTTTAAGAAGGAGCTCTACCTTGTATGTTTGTTTTCAGGATAAAGGCCTTGGGGATATTTGCACGTGCAGAGACGAGAACCCCTCTACAAAGGAAAATCTTCCTGTAAATTCCAGTTTTGAGACTGGACCATCCCTACAAGCACAAGATCACTTCTCCTTTTCTGTCCACTAATATAAATTTTATTTTAAAATCTTTTTTTCCCAGTGTTTTACTTGTAGAATGCCATGAGAAGCAGCTCCAAGTCTGGTGGACTTACTGCCAGTTTTGCTGCTCTGGGAATTTGCAATTCAGCTTGCAGTGCTAGCTCAGTAAAGGAAAATTAATGCATTCTTGGCATGCAGCCCCTGCATATGCAAACTTAAACTTGAGTAATGAGCTAAATATTTCATGTTCAAATGAATTCAGAGGTGCCTTTAAATTCCTCTGCTCACAAGAACCCAATTCCCTTCTTTCCTTCAGCCATAGGAGACAGATGGCACTGAGAATCCTGCCTTCATCCTATTTGCTCCACCAGCTACATCATGAGAGAAATAAACATCATATCTCTCCCAAAATACAACCAAAGTCTCATTTAGGGGACAAATCTCAAGACTGAACTGCAAAACAAAATATGTGTGAGAACCCTCACCTTGAATGCTGGACCTAAGCAAATAGTTAAATGTTAGTGTGCATAAATGGAAAGACATTTCATTTAGATGGGAATTTGTTGGGAAATTTTCTTTGCTTAGTGCACAAAATTCTGATTAACAGAGAAGATAAGATGGAATAAATAAATAAATTGGATTGGTGACTTTAACATTTAGGTGGTTTTCCCTCCGTTATCTTAATTTTTGAAAACAGAAATCTAATTTAAGTACTATTAATAAGGAAAACAAATTTGGAAAAGTGCACTGTTCATTAAAAAAAATTACATAACAAAACCCACTTTGAACAAAGATTTAAAATCATAAGTAGGAATTTGAAAAGGCAAGAGCACATCAGCACTATGAACAGCACTGGTATCTTAGCATTGTCTATATAGCTGACATTTAGTATTTATTTTTATATCCTTAACATTTTCTACTTTGAAGTCAAGCTACAGAGGGGGTTAGCAGCTGGCCAGCTATTATTACAACAACATAAGGGTGCAAAAGATCTCTCAGATTACCAAGGGCCATTTCCCAGAAGTTGTATGCAGCTCAGTATAGAACCATAAATTTACTCATCTCTGTCTTTAAAGTAACTTTGCTCCTTTGCCCTCACTATTTGGATTTGCAAGACTACTTCAGAACCTCTTCTTGTAATCCTTAGGAAGTACCTAATTTTCAGTTGAAGCTTCTATGCAACTCAGCTTTTGCAGCTGTTTCTTTCAGTGCTAACCTGGTTCTTTGCAGCTTAAGGAGCTTTATTTGCTGGTGCTGCTTCTCCTGATGTCTTTACTGAGAGCAACTGTACTTCCTTTCAGCCACCATTTTGTTGGGTTGAACAAGCGAAAGACTTTCAGATGATTTTCATAGAAGAGGTTTTGCATCTCACTAGAAGAGCCCCTGCTCTGTTTCAGCTGGGTGCTGTGGAGCACTGGGGCACAGGAAGGCAGTGAGTACACGGGCACTGGTGCTTCTCTCTCACGTTTGTACTTCTCCCTCTTAGAGTCCCATTGATCTGCACCATCCTGCCATCTGGTACTGCTCACAGGCACCTTTGATCAGCTACTATATCTAGGTCTTCTTTCAATAATTTACAGCTAATAGCTTTTTTCACTAGTCCCCAGGTGAATAACCTTACAATTAACAGGATTTGTTGCTATACCTCTTCTTGTACTCCAAGTCTCAACAATCTCCCAGTTTTTCAACATGTTTTGATCTCCTCTTGTTTTGATAATACCTGTTAACTACATCCCTCAACAAATTACCTCATTTTTTTTTCTTGATATGTATGATTAAAATGCTAATCCAGATTGGTCTCAAAAAATAATCCTTGAGAAATTAGTGCAGATCTTCTCTAGCTGTATATTCTGCCTTGCAATACCATTTCCCATTTAGCCAAGTCCTTACCCACATTCTAATCCCTTTATAATCACTTTATTCTGCCTCTCTAATTTCCCATGTGACAGAATATCAGACATATTACTACTGTTTCAAAAGATGAGAGCTAATGTATTTTCTTTGTCTAGAACAATCTGATACCTTTTCCAAGAAAATCATGCTCTTAGTCTGGGACAACCTGCTTTTTAGGCTCATTTTCTATCTACCTACATCTCTCTAATTACTACCTCAATTTTTCCCTTGATCTGTTTACTATTGCACTCATAGATACATTAGACTCCTGGGGGTGTTTCTGCACAGTAACTGTATCTATTTAAAATTAGGTAATTAAATGATTCTGCATGGTTTTACTCACTTGTTCCACCACCAGGACTAGTGAGAACCAGTGAAGGATGTGGTGCTTCCATGCTTTTATGAAGTGTAGCCACAGCAATAATTTTCCTTTTATGTATGCATAGTTTGGTGACATCTTCGTCTGCTTTGACATCTTCAGCAGTTCTCTGCTTCACAGCAGCTCCAGGATCAAAATTAAAGACCTGAGAGTAAAAATTCCAATGTTTAAAATAAAGATTATAGGTAGCAAACTCACCAAATAAACAGACCTAAACTGGAAATTTTCGAGAGAATTGATTTTGCCTCTGTTTCTTGGTGCTGTTCCTACATTACCCAAGAGATAACTTTAGAGTACATTTCAGAATTATAAACAAAAAGTGAATATAATAAGTAAACAGTCATGGGAGTTGTCATGTGGCAAGAGAACTTTAATACTCCTCAGTGTAGGGGCCTCTGGAGAAAAAAAGGAGAAAGAACCAGGTGTGTTTGAGATTACCCTGCCACTAAGAAGGAAAGTTTACAATTTGTGTTTGGATGATATAAAACTGTGAAGCTGCTAGTGAAGTCACCAGGTAAGTCAGTATTTCGTTCTGATTCTCACATGTTAACATGATGCTCTTGATGGCAGATGCAGCAGGACACTCCATGCCTCAATATGCCTGCCTCAGTTTCCCTCTGGGATTCAATTGCTTTTTGTCTCTCAATTTTACAGGCCAGGCCTGGAGTGGAAAGATTCCCATGGGACAGTAAAGGGCCAAGCAAGCTCTGAGCTGGTAACAACCTTGACAGTACAAACAGAGGGTCAAGTTAATGCTCATAACACCAGCTGGACCCCTGCCTGGTCACAACTAGGCCCGAAATGGAGACAAAATAAGGACAAACAGATGAAAATAAGAGTTTGCTTGGTGAGAAAAGGGCCTTCATGGGTTTTTTTCCACTGTTTTCCTTTTGTTCTCCAGTGAGAGATGTTGGAGGGATGGCTAAATAGCTAAATGACCGTAGTCAATCCACTTTATTCTTATAAATAAATATTCTTTATTATAAAAGCCTGGTCCCATCTTTGATCAGGGAGACTCCCACACATTTTTCCAGGAGGTTGCTGGATCTTCTCCTCTCCAGGGGGCATGCCTGCCAGGGAGATCAATTCTCAGGGACAAAGGGACACAAGCTGCGGGCGGGTGAGGGTGGGAGAGATTAACTCTCTTGTTGTCTTTACTAGTTAATTTGACATTAAGCAACTTTTCATTGCTAAGTTTTACATTTTAAGAGTTTTAGGATCCTTTTAAAGTCGGTAATCAATGTTCTAGATCTAATATAAGATTTGGCAATAAGTAAGCTATTAGCATTTAAATGGTTAACCTTTGTTGATTGATTTGACTCCTAGTAGTACAGTTTATTGTTAAGATACCTTTTGCATTGTAACTTCAACATTCTGTTCCCATTTCCCCACTTCCCCACAATTTGACTGTGCTTGTGCCTTTATCTTTAAAACAGTTAAGACCCTGATGCTGTTGGCAATAAACCTTGTTCTGTGCAGACACACCTTGTCTGCTCTCTCACCCCCTTCAGGACAGTAGGTTTTTAACTTCATAGAAAAACATGAAAACACCATAAAACCTGAGTAATATCTTTTCGATGAGGGGAGAAGGCAGAAGGGAGATTAATTTTGTATTTTATGGTAAATGACTGGGTGTATACCACTTATCTCTTTTTATATATATGATCTGAACAGAGATGAAGTCATAGCATAGGCCATCAGCTGACATAACTGATCAGGATTATAGCACAAAAATCCTAAATGATGCTTTTCTTTACCTTGGGAAGAACAAGAGGACATTCTAGGCCACACTTGCATGTTCCATCAGTCAGCAAGTAAGTCTTCACCTGCTCCAAGCAGGATAATAAAGACCCACTGGGACTGTAAAGGAACAGAAATGATGAATACAAGCTATTTGATAGGTTATGACTTGTATCTGCCATTCTATCAGCTCACATAAAGAGTGCTTAAAATAACACAAGAAATTTCATATTTTGGTTCATAGTACTTCTTGCTTTAGTCAAGTACTGAGATGATACTTCTAAAAAACAGCCCTAAAAACAAACAAAAAAACATTTTAAAGGACCCATCAAGTGCAGAGAAAAAAAAGTAACTCAGATTATTGATATTTACTATTCCCATTACAAGTCCTGCTTGAAAACCTTAACAAGTCTAGGGTTATTTTTCTCCCTCCTATAAAGTGTAACACTAGCAGAGGGCAGTCTCCAGGGACCTCCTCCCCCTCCATCACATCACTGCAGCTCCATGCAGGCAAGAAAGTCATCTGTACTTTTTAAGACTGGAGCCTAATTAAAAAAGAACAAACACAAAAGTGTGTTTGAAGTAGTATGAGAAAACCCACACAGAACAGGGGGCACAGTAACACGACTGTTGTGGCTGGGTCTCCCAGTTGAATAAACAGCCTGGTTTTGTTCAGCTGACATTTCAACCTTCTCCCTGAAAACGAGAAATATTACACCAAGATGCCAGTCCAGTGAGTTTCTGATAAACTGCACTCGGATTTCTATAACTCCCACCAGAAAATCATTATCTCCATATCCAAAAATAGGTCATTGGAAATTCTGTTATGGCAAAATCACTAATTCATAAGATGAAAAGAGTTCTCACGTCACAAGCCTCTCCCTTCTAGATTGCTCTTCATTACTTTGCCATCCAAACTGTTTATCAGGGAAAGAAAACACTGGTTCTTAACAGCAGCTGTAAATAGCCCTTACTTTAACAAAAACAATTTAAGTGGCATAGTTTGAAAGTGGCATCGTGAAAACAGCCAAGAGTCAAAATTCCAAAACATGATGAACTTTAGTAGTTAAAACCCAGTGTTATAAACAACTAATTCTGCGTAAGAACCAAGTTACATATAAAGCAACATCTGCAAGTGACATTTAAAGTTATGCTGACAGCTTCTGTAAATAACTCATTTGTCAGACTTGCCCTCAACTAGTTGTTTTAGAGAAAACTGCCCAGGTTGGATATGTGTAAGAGAGGCAGTTCTGAGGGCATGCAGGATAAAGAGTAACCTAAAAATAATGGTGCAGGCATGAAGTAATAGATAGGTCAGGAAGTTGAACCTTCCCTGTATTAAAATTGAAAAAATTGGGGAGCAGGGAGAAATGTCTCTTTGTTTCTATTTGTTTATACTGGATACTGGAGCCTGGAAACAACAGGCCTGTAAGGCATATACAGACTGTACTGGGGACCAGGGGGTGTAAAGGAGGGTCTGGACACTCACATTTAGCAGCAGTGCACACAACAGGCATGTGGGACTCACCACCCCTACAGCACACATCATAGAACAGTTTGGGTTGGAAGGGACCTTAAATCCTACCTAGTTCCAACCCCCTGCCATGGGCAGGGACACCTCCCACTAGACCAGGTTGCTCAAACAGATGTATGGTCCACAAGAAACAACAACATCTTAAAAAAGGCCCAATTCTTCTATTTCTGCCTTGTTCCTGGGCAGACCTATGTAATTGCAAAGTCTCTTTTGTGTGCTTCTACATTGCAAAGATAATCCACACTATCCTTTGTAAGAAACTAGCAGGTTCTTTTCAGTTCTGCGTTATCCAGAGGTTTAAAACCTCCCAAAGAAACATGAAAAAGTGTATTATAAAATATCTTAGGATCTGATACTGATGGTTGTGAAATCTGTTCCTTTTCTTAATGAGCTTTTCTTAGGTTATTCCACTGATGACTACCCATGAACACTAAGCTGAAGAAGAGGTTCAGATCCTACTTCAAGGCCAATACTGTTTTACTAATAAAAGCACTGACTTAACTCAGTGCTTTTACCAGGTAATAAAAACTAGTTAATTACTGGATTTAATCCAAAGCAACTGTTGACAGTTGACAGCAAAGTGTGCATGCTTTATAAGGAAGCACAAATCGAATGAGTCCTTATTCAGCTGGGACCATCTATTCCAGTTAAATCATGTCAGGTCTTAATATATACACTAATTTTCCCCTGGATAGCTTTTGAGTCAATATTGTTTGACCTTTCCTTCTCTCAGTAAATGCTGTGTATATTTTCAGGGTGGTTGTTCCTTCAGAAGGGCAGTGCAGCACTAGAACAGGTTACCCCAAGAGGTTGTGGAAACTCAATCCTTGAAGGTACAGCTGGTGAAACCAAGAGCTGACATGACCAAGTGCTACAGATGCTCCATGTCAAGCAGGAGGTTGGACTATTGGAATTCCAAGCTTTCCAACCAACATGACCTACCCTGTGCCTTTCACCAAACGTGGGAATTGTGGACCACACCAAGCATCTTTCCTTAATCAGAAATGCTTCCAGAAGGCAACCAGAAATCAGGTAAATAAAAATACCAAAGCATGATGTGTCCTGATACCTGGATATAGAGATGATAGGAAAAAGCCCCAAACCCACAATGTTTTCTTTCTCATTGATTTTTAACTAAGGCAGAGGCCCAGTAAATTACAGCTGTAATGAGAAATACAAGGGGAAGGCAATATATCTTTGACACGCATATCACTGACATGGATTTTGTTTGATTCTGCTAATTGAAAATATAAACAAGAAATCCTGGAATGCATCAGATCTTTTATGGTAGTTTAGTGTAAAATTGGAGTATGGTTTGACTCATTAAGGAATTTTGCACTGGTAATACATAAAATATTGTGAATAAGTGGTTATTTTAATCATAGAACAGTGGAATAAGATTAAGCAAATAACAGACTGATAATCATTTACACTTCTGTGATGTAAACCTGATGTGCCCATATTTTGTTAAAGTTAACTTTGATCTTTTTTTCCAATAACATTTAATTTATAGTCTGTTTGTCTGAACACATTCATTTAATAGTCATTTCAATGCATTTCTTTGTGACTGTTCCAGGGTGAAGCTAAAAAAAACCTAATAAGCTAACAAAATAAATAAATAAAATACCTACAACTTTGGATTTAGGCCTGTGTTCCTGTTTTTACAGAAGAAATATGGGGAACCCACAGAAGTAAATCTGGCTGGAAAACATCAGTGATACCAAGCACAGAACCTTCACAGGGCATTTAAAATATGTTTTCTGCAGCTACTAAGTAGTTGCAGCACTTCTATTTCCTTTTGAAAGAGATTAAGTAAACCATAAAAATACATAACATAAACCCAGCACACATTCAGGAAAGAAGAGCTACATGGTGTCAGGATAAAGCTGCAAGACACTGGAAGAACTGAGCTGAAGGCTTGTTGCTGACAGCAGGAGAAAGTCCCACCCTACTTCACCTGCCATGAATGTTTGTACACCTGAGCACTGCTTTGAATTCAACCAACAAAGGCTCTTAGAAACAGCCCATGATGGTGCAAGGAAAATGCACCTGGGAGTAGGTAAAAGACAGCAGAGATTCTTCATCATCTCAGACAGGGCATGTAACTTAACTTCTGGTTATCTTCATTGTAAAAAGTTTGAACAATAAACATATTCACTCTGCTTTAAAACCCATATGACAATAACAAGCAACAAGGGACTATTCATGCCTACAGCAAAATGTAGAGTAAGGACTATCAGATTTTCAAGACCAGGCAAAATTAGATTTGAGAGTAGGTTAAGGGCATGCAATGTGGACTCCACTAATATCATCAGAAAAAATGTTCTCAGTCTTCCAAAAGAAGAAGCCCTTGAAGTTTTTGAGTACAAAAAAATGAGCCGAGTCACTGATTTACCATGTTTTGGCAAAACTGAAATGAAAACAAAACCAGTAACCACCTCAGACAACCTTACCTGATATAGAGCACTCCACTTTGGTCCACCCGTCGCTGCCAACCAACGGGAACTTGCACTGCTGGTGGCCCTCCATCCGTGTCCCCTCCGTCACACTCCTTTCCACCATTCATTTTTCTGTTTCTGTTTATGAGTCTTCAAAGATATCAACAGTAAGATGATATCCTTTTACTACATGTCATCATGGCCTCCCAAAGAAGGCCATTCAGTACACCTTTCCCCAAATTGTACAAAGTGCATTGGGAGGCTCCAGCTCAGTTTGAAACCAAGTCCTTAAAAGTGGCCATTTTTGTTAATGAGTCAGTTTCCCATTATAATCCGCATTAAATATGCAATGTTTAACTCCTTATATATTCATAAGGATGAACTATATAGATAAAAATTAGTGCTTCCAACTTGGGAAAATCATAATTCACCAATCCTTTGTTACCTGTCAGAAAGGAGAATGGGGAAAAGGAGAATTTCTAGTTCAACAGCATGGCTCCAAGCTTGATGACTGTCTAAGGTAACTTGTATTTTGTGAAAGCTCGTCTCATTTTTTATAAATATGAGTCAGATCTAATACCTCCAGGTATTATACCCTTTATATGCCACATTCTTTTTGTTTTCTTTTTATCTTCCGTTCATTATCCAAGTTGTCTTCTTGAGTTTCTTTCATGACTCCTTGGCTCCAATAAAACAGGCTGAAAAAAACAGATGCAGGAAACACATGAGCCATTTTCTGAAGTCTTTCAGCCCAGTTCAGTAACTCATGAAGATGTAATGCAGCTGCATCCATTTAAACAGCTTAGAATCAAACTTCTAAATGTCAATGGAACCACCAAAATAAGGCTCAGGGTAAATATAATTCTATTTTTATGTGGATGCAATGGACCTATGTCTTCAAAGTTAAGAGAGTGCAACTGTAATTAAACAGTTAATAGACAGTTTGGGTGAGTGAGTTAAGGGGGATGTATCTTTTCACTGAATAGTTTCACATATGCTTCTGTTCAGAATTATCAACAGATGACTAGCTCAATTAATGCCCTCTAAAAATTGTTGATCAAACTGAATGAATTTTATGTGAAGGAAGCTGCTTCTGTGGTTGATGATATCCATAAAAAAAGGAAAAACCCCTGCATTTCGACTCAATTAAAATAATTCTTTCTTCCAAGAAAACTGTAATAAAAAGGGAACAGCTGGCATCAATGCACTGAGCTCAGAACACCTATGAAACAGTCTGAGTATCATAAGTGATCATTTCCCCCCACATGATTATATTGTATGAGCAAATCTTCCTGAAAGAAGTTCAGGATAACTGTGTTATTCCCCCAAAACAGCTTTTCACGTTGAGCGGGTGAGACTTAACTCTTGAGACTGGACATTTTATTAAGGTGAGACAAACATGGAATATGTGATTCAAACAGTGAAACCATCAGAAAATCCAACAATCCTGGAACTCAAATGTAAGATGTCATTGATGACTATTGCAGTGATGATGCTAACAGCTTTTATTCAGAATTGTGTCAGTTCTGCCTTACTCTTAATACTAATGTCACACTAACATCTTAAAACATTGCAAATATCACTATAGATCTGACTGATTTTAATAAGGTTTTTTGAGATAAAAATGGAACATTGAGATTTAGGAACCTACAAGATTTCTGCAACAGTACTAACAACACCACATCTATATTTAACACCAACAACAGCTCCTTCAAGACCACTAGAGGAAGACTACAGAGGCATAAGTATAGTCCTCCAAAATACCCCCTTAATTACACTTAAGCACTACATTCTCTTTAGATATACTACTTACAAATGCAACGTTCAAAATGCTACATAAAGAAAAAAAAAAAACAGCCATGGTATCTCCAAGAAGAATGTGGACTAGGAAGGAGATGGCTGGACATATGCCCTTGACTAAGGAGCTGAGATCTAATTAATAGAATCACAGGGGTTGGAAGAAAAATCTGAAGATCACCAAGTCCAACGCCCCTGCTACAGCAGGAACACCTAGGGCAGGTCACATGGGAATGCATCCAAATGGGTCTTGAAAGTCTCCAGAGAAGGAGACTCCACAACCTCTCTGGACAGCCTGTCCCAGTGCTTCGCAACCCTCACAGCAAATAATTTTTTCCTTGTATTGAGGTGGAACTTCCTGTGTTGTAACTTGGAGCCATTTCCCCTTGTCCTATCACAGGGCACCACTGAAAAGAGACTGGCATCTTGACATCCATGCTTCAGATACTTGTAGACATTAATAAGGTCCCCTCTTAATCTTCTTTTCTCAAGACTAAACAGACCCAGGTCCCTCAGCCTCTCCTTCTATGACAGATGTTCCAGTCCCTTAATCTTCCTTGTAGCCTCCATTGGATTCTTTCCAGCCTATCCCTGTCCCTTTTGAGCTGGGGAGTCCAGAATTGGACACAATACTCCAAATGGTGTCTCAGAAGGGCGGAGTGGAGGGGAGGAGAACCTCCTAAATAAAGAATGTCATTTTCTGCAGGATGAAGCCTTCTAGAATAGCCTGGTATGGTTTTGACTTTCCTGTACTCTGGAGTACTCCAGTAGGATGTAATCCTTGGCTTGCCAAAACTGGGGAAGGGATGAGGAGCCTGCGAGGAGATCCTCCTCACTGACAGCAGGGAGGAGACTGAGCACCAGCCAGTGGAGGATAGAGTCAATGTCACATGGAACACCTCAGTATCTCTCATAGGAAAACAATCTAGCCTTTAATCTCTAAATCTGGTAAACAGAAATAGGATTTGGAGAACACTTGGCAACAGAGTTCAGGACTCCTGAGTCCTTCCAGGTTTTCAGTTTATCAGTTTTGGTGTTTGATTGGTTTTATTCTGATAAAAAGTGGCAGCAGATGATGTTTCATCTAAGGTAAAATTTAGCTTCAGGTTTCAGCATGACTCTGAATGTTGCATTGGCACTTTGACTGCAGGTCTCACCTAAGGCTAAAACAGGTAAATAACCCTGCTAATATTTTAAAGGAGAATTAACTCCTTGTAATACAGTAAAATAAAAAAACACATATTCAAAACACTGGAAGCACACAGTGCAGAGAAGGTTGCTCATCTCTCAGCTCAGTCTTGCTGTGGGTCTCTTTGCTATTTAGGCCAACTGCACTGGATCATTATGGGAAAACAACAGCCATTCATTCCTTGTTTGCACAAGCAGCAAGACACAGGCTGAAGTAACATTATATTTCTACTGGTTCTGCTCTGCTACCATGCCATTCCATCACCACCAGTACACTTATCATCATCTAATCAGATTAACCATTTTGCTGCACTGCAGATAGCTTGAAATAGCACTGTAAGAAGTCAAATAATTTACTAAACCCTTTCTTCTGTGGAAAATAATGAAGTATTTTTACTCAGTACAGTGAATTGGAATAAAATGGCTGCTTCCATCATAACCTTCAGACAAAGTTTATGATTTGAATGACTTTTCCTTGAGAAGCAGTAGAAACTGAAGATTGTGAAGTAAAACCAAGATTTGAGTGATATAAAAAGTAAAAATACTGAGCACATATTGTAACCCTTGCACATTTCTACTAGGCATGAAAGGGCAAAGTAAGATGTTGCCATCAGTGTTGTCACTAACCCCTGCATGTGCAGAGCTGATCTGTATTATTTTACTTAATTGCATAACACCACAGAAAAGTTAAGCATCCTGGAGATGTCTCCAAGAAGAGTTAAACCCCTCAAATCTGGGTCAACAAAGGGCACCTTTTTAATTTCCCCAAGAAGCAGGTATCAATCAGAGAAAGGAGATGGAGCTGAAACAGCAGAGAAACAGAGGATGAGAGCCACTTACACCAGGCTGGGTCTGGCCCCTTTTCACCCTACCCACAGCGTAGGCTGCTTTTATGATACATTTTCTATTATATATTATAAAATATATTATTATACATGTTATATATTTATCTTAATATGTATAAATTACATATTATATTTTCTATAATAAAGCGGCCTTAGCAAGAAGCTGCAACTTGGAAGGGACAACTGGAGGGGACATGGCACCACTCAGGTCTGGCAAATGGTTTTGTGACTGAAAGATGACTATTAGATCCCAGATTTCCCATCTAAGACTTCATATTTCTTACCACTCCAGCACCTTCCAACCTGACTGCAGAAAGCCCCCAGCTCTTTTGATGTACCATTTTCCCCTTTTCCATCCAAATATCCTAACTTAAGTACTTTGAATTGGGTTAGAAAGTATTCGGATTTTGGAGCAAATCCAACGTATTTTGGACACTGGATTCTATCCAAAGGTCTGATTTTCATCAGCCCATGTAATAAATACCTCTTCTCTGTAATCTCATAACAACTCCAGACAACTCATGTTATCTCACCACGAGTAACACAACTTTCCACATCTAAATCAATTACTTCTTTTTTCCTGTGCTCCAAGACATGCCGTTTAGATTTGTTTTGCAGTCCAGTTTCATTACAACACACTTTAAAAATACTTCATTGGAGAACTATGCAAAACTACACAGAATTTGTTCCCCCCCCTCTTTTAGCCTCCTCAGACCCCTTCCCCCCCTGGAAAATTTCTCCTTCATTTTCCTATGCTCAAAGTATGTTTTCAATTTTTAATGCATCTCCCTCCTTGAAATGCTGCGTTTTAAGAAGCCTCTTTGCAAACTCTGCTCCTAATGTTTATTTAGTCAAGTGGTGAAATAGAAAAGTTGGTACCAAGTAAAAAGAAATTTAAATTAGCTACTAATAGTCTGGATTCCCATCAATCACATATTATATGAAGACCAGTATAACATTTGTTTTTTTAATAACTGGACATAAAGCCAGTTGAGACAAATTTTGACAGTCTGCTACTGCAAAGAAGCTCCATTCTTACAATAACTTTTAAGTGTGCTTAACAATTCCATATAACACAGGAAAAAAAAGGCTGCTTTGAGGTCTGTGAGCAATGACTGCCTCTATGATGCACAAAACACAGTGCTGACCTATGAAATGGTCAGATTTTGGGAAGAAAGTTCTGCAGACACTTAGAACATACATCAAATGCTGCTTAAAGATACAAATTGCAGTCTCAGTTCCCAGGCTTTCCTTTCTATCAGAGAAAAACACACAAATATATTCAGAAATAGAAATGT